CTGCTAGTGTAATGTTATCTGATGACCTAAGCGCGATATCCTATGCTGCTCACTGTTGGCGTAAGCTTCATAAAAAAAAAAAGAACGGTGGCATATTTTTCTTCTTTTTTTTTTTTGATAATCGCGCATTTAGAGGGAAAGTGCCAATGCCTGAAGCAGCTGCTGCACATGTAAACCATAAAAGATTACAGGGTACCTGATGCATTTCCCCAAAGTTGTAGGTGGAAGCCATGTGCTCAGTAATTTCTCGCTGGGTGTGTTGATCCGTATTCGTTCCCCTCCGAGAGCTTTCTGAGCCTCACCTGGTTCGGCACTGCCTCCGTGATTTACCCACATTTTACAACTAGACGTCATCATGCGGCGTTACTTTACGTGACGTCACAGTTGCGTATAATCAATTTGTGCGCTTCACGGCGTCATCACGTGACGATTTTTTTTCATCACAAGTGTGGATGCCGACCAACGCTTCATTTTCGCGTTTGATTGGGCATCTAAGAATTCCTCTTTAATTAAACATTGCCTAACTATTCAATAAGAAGCTGCGCCATTTTGCATAGACAACCCACACTCGCCATTTGAGATGGTCCCAGTTTCAGACGACACTTCTGCAACATTCTGGCCATGGTGCACTTCTAGCTGAACAAGCTAATCTCGAGCCAACGCAGTTTCGTGCTCCTACGCCGAACGGCGCATGCGCTGTCTTATGCAGCAATGCTTCAATTAGTACTGGTACAAGCTTGCAATCACCAAGGCCCACAATGCTACACGTCGACAACTCTAAGAATAAATAACTGAAAAATACGCGGAAGACCGGGAGAACGCTCGAGCTCCGCATTCTGGAATAGAAGGCCATAGTGTAGTCGAGCCATTAAGAAATTGAAGCCTCTCGGAAACGAGGGACGAATAACACACCACACGAGCACTGAAAACGACCACATTTTTATTGCGATATCAAGTATATAGACACTCGCCTGGATTTTGCCGCCAATGTCACCAGCACTTACCGTATATATATATATATATATATATATATATATATATATATATATATATATATATATATATATATATAAAGAAAAGAAGTGTATACTTAAGGGCTCGTTTTTCTGTGTTCTTCACAATATTATTGCGATCTAACAGACAATAATGCCAAGGAAAGTATAGGAGAAGATATTAAATATTAAACCGAATTGTAATGTAAATATGAAGAAATATGGGTGAAAAGATAACTTGCCGTGGGCAGAATCCAAACCTGCGACCTTCGAATGACGCGTTCGATGCTCTACCACTGAGCTACCACGACAGCTATCACCCCAGCCACTTTATTGGGTTTATATGTGAACTAAACGTGGGAGTATCAGTCAGCGGCACCAGTAGCCAAGGCGGTGAGTGTAGCACACTCTTTTTTGAGCCTATTTGGCGTCACGTAGCACGTGAACTTATAACAAGTGGGCAGCTGACCAAAAGTCCCTCATATACAACCTAATATATACAACCTAAATATATATATATATATATATATATATATATATATATATATATATATATCGACGGAGCACCTCCTTCAACGTTCAAACGGCAAGCTATTTGTATCCACCACTCACCGCTGGTGACGGGCATCTCGGGGAAAACTATCGCATTTTCAGCGTTCCCTGCAAGGTGGCGCAACAAGCGCATCGCCACATCGTAACGACATAGCGGCATGCGCTCTCCCACACGTACTTTGCCCTGCGGAGAGAGGGTATGGTGAACGCTCACGCGCGCACTTATGTCGTGGTGGGGAGGATAGTTCGTCTTGGCTAGCCTTGGACTTTCACCGGAACGACTCTGTTGTATTTACCGGGAGCTCAAAGGTCACTGCAATCGTCGCGCAGTCTCCGTTTGTGAAAATGACGCGCTTTTCAGACACAGCGAAGCAACAACTGAGACGCTTATTCACGTTCATCTGTACCACTGAGCACGTTTCCTGCATCACTTGTGCGTGAGAAGCACGGGGCACGTTTCGACCTGCTTGCCATTCTCCGCGTGACCTTCCAATTTGTTACTATCGCGTTCATGGCTTTGCCTTTGTGGCATAGCTGGGAGTTTTTTTCGCCGAGACCACCTTTTATATACGCATAAACTTGACCAATGATGACAAATGATGTATCAGTTGTCAAACAGAAATGATTGCAGCCCCGCCACGGTGGTCTAGTGGCTAAGGTACTCGGCTGCTGACCCGCAGGTCGGGGGTTCGATTCCCGGCTGTGGCGGCTGCATTTCCGATGGAGGCGGAAATGTTGTAGGCCCGTGTACTCAGATTTGGGTGCACGTTAAAGAACCCCAGGTGGTCGAAATTTCCGGAGTCCTCCACTACGGCGTCTCTCATAATCGAATGGTGGTTTTGGGACGTTAAACCCAACAAATCAATCAATCAGAAATGATTGCATGCGGTCTATCAAATACTATACAAGATTTTCAACTAGGAAACAAAGATGACATAAACGTGGTGCAAGAACTTCGAGACTTGTCCGAGTGGCGCTTTTTCTTTCTGGTGTTATGTAACAGGGCCAGTTTCGTGTCGCCTTTTCGTCCGCTGGTCAGGTTTCACTTCTCGGTGCATGCCTCAATTTTGCAGCGATGAAAGCAACGTCTGTACGTGCAACGTTGATCATTCTAAACTCTCGTAGAATGCATGCGTATATAAGTACAGTTTCGAAGAGTTCATTGCGCCGTAAACTTTGCAAATGAGCGAATTATACCCACTGCTGTGTCTATAGGGCACATATACTCAGCTGCACAGTTGATGCTGATGAAGAGTAATTGCGCTTGAAGGTTTTCTGTGCCTTTAAACCGCCCACTCGTTGCGCAAATCTTGTGTAGAATAGCCGCAATTCAAGTGCATTGACCACGCACTATTACAACAGTGTGCCTCAGCCTCGCGATTAGGAAAGAGGTGACTGTGCACGTAACACTGGCTGTTTCGAAGCATCATTGAATGCTAATTTCGAGCACGGCTGCTACGTATACATACTACGTGACATTTTCGCGAATCATTGAAGTGTCCACTTTGCGTCCTTATAGGGCATCACGTAAACCTATGCAGCTGTTCACTTTCATTGATGCTTCTGCTACAGATGATAATTAAATATGTCTAAGTGCTCTGCAATAGTTCGGCCTTTAATATACCCACTCGTTGCTTAATTCACACGTTTTGGCGCCAGGTAGCCATTCTACGCTTCTGCAACGGAATGTATGTCGCCTTCAGGAGACTTCTTTTATTGGCATGACATTCAAACACTGTTTTTTTTTTCAGAGCGGTTTCAATGAAAATGTTATAGCTCTGGGGTAGCACACGTATTTACCTCGGAGACGGCCTTTATTTGGTTCTCACTCAGACCCAGGCGTTATTAATATTTATTTTATTTGCATACTTGTCACTTTGTTGGCCACAGACAGTGTGGAGATTTTTCCGCTCTCGACCAACGACGCTCACGCTGATGCCGACGCGGTAATTTCTGCGAAACGAGCTCTTCAGCGATATCGTGGTTACACACGATATGCGTGCTTGAGTAGAAGCATGCGAAGAAACTTTGGGAGTGAGCATATATTCATGAACCACACGTTGCTTTACTGTGCAGTTGTGACTATAGGAAAACACATACACCAGTAGTGCCTTGCTGTGCAAGCTGACGAGTTTCTCGCTACACTAATTGTCCAACAGCTTCCTTTCAATGCCTCAGTAAAGAAGGCTTTGCAAAGAAAAAAGAAAAAAACAGAGAGGCTTGCCAGACGCTTGTTTAAATATCGATGGTTTCCTCTAGCAAGGGTATTGATTGCAGTGCAAAGGAACACTTGATTTGCACACATTTGAACACAATAATATCCAGTCTACTTACCATCACGACGCTGAACCTGTATTTCTCGCATGAAGGCAATGCAAGCTTATTTTGTGTATCTGGGGCAATACTGCGACAATTCTAGTGTTGATACGTAGCTGGAAGTTGCCGCGTAGTCGATGAACTGCACTCAGCCGCCCGATATCTTCATCACCTGTCAGCGCGACTACTCGGCTGCAGCTGGTGTCATCACGGGGTTTTCAGTATATATAAAATGGCCAAAAGTCAAGCAATGAAAGGCTTCGCTTCCTGTCGCCTCTGCGTTTTTTTTTTCATTTTATTGAGGTTGTTATGACTACATTTCAAGAAATTCACAACACTGATTAGACCCATAGCCATAGGCTAGTAGGGGGTCTAACGGGATAAAGTATACAAGCAGAATACAATTTGTATATAAAAAACAGAACATCAAAAAACGTTGATTTTTCAAAAAACGAAAAAAATACAAGAAGATATAATTGGAATTTAAGGTGAAGTAAATGCTCAGATGCTGTAAAGTGTTGAGTTACTACAGACGTTGTGCAAAACTTCCAGCATGTAAGGTGTTCGTGTGACTGACTTTTTTTTAATGTGAACTGTCATGCTACGTGAGTAAACTGTATTTTGCTGCTCTTTTTCGCGTCACTTCGTGTATTGAGTTACGTGAACGTTTATACTCTTTTGTGCATGTTTTTTCTCATTCCTGTGGTTTTTCAGGAATTTTACTATCTTTGAGCAGAAGTAGACGGCAACATATAAATATGCTAACATATGTAAAGAAGACATTGTTCAGTTATACGAGCCTCTACAAGAAAATGATTTTCTTTTTATTCAAGACGTGAGCCTTTAGCTCGTCCTGCTGGGGTAGTCACTTTCGCGTCGCAACGCTGATCACGAGGACCACATGTATCCATTCCTCAGCCAAGTCGTCGGGCGCGCCGTGACACAGATGAAATGAAAATACGCAAACCACAGGCGTCCTTGGAGTTAGGTATTTGTTGAAAGGCGTCAAGTGGTGAAACTCCTGCGGTTTTTCAGCTACAGCGCCTGCCTCATAAATATTCTTTCTTTTTCTTTTTGGCGCGTAAGGCTAGAGTACTACAAGCCTTTAACCCGAGGATGCGTGGTAAGCAAGCAAGAGTACGTGGTGCGCTGATATTTAATGTGCATAAATAAGTGCAAGAACATGTCCTGTGATACGTCAACGATTTATACAGCGTCGCACACACGTCTCGCGGAGTCACATCACGATTTCGCCATCGTCTCAAAGTCTGGCGTGTCGTCCTCCATGTGGCATCTGTTTTTCCAGGTCAGTTCATTCACTAACGCGGAACACGCTTTTGCTTCCTTCAAATTCGATGAAATTTTATCCATGGTCCCCTACCAGGAGTTCGAGACGACACTGTAAGCACCGATTTCCATGGAACCCTAGAAGAAATAGGACATCTTCGCTTTATAAAAATGTAGTACCCTATTTGAAAGAAAAAAAAATCCTGCAGTATTTCAGTTTTTTAATATATCATTCTTGTGTCGCCTGCATGTCTTGCCGTAAATATTTATGCTTCTCAAAAGACAGTGAAGTGGTCATTGCCAGCTAAACTTGCGTTTAAGAAATGTCAGAAACATCTGAACGCCGCTACATCCACACGTTACCTGCAGAAAGCATCGCTTCTTAGATATGCAGCCGCCCAGTTTTACACAGACAACGACACTCACCATCTGAGACTCTCCCAGTTCCAGGCGATACTTCACCAACAGTCTTGCGAAAGTGTATTTCAGGTTCAGCAGTGCCAACCGCATGCCAGCGCAGTTTCGTGGTCCTATGCCAAACGGTGAATACGCGGTCTTGCACAGTAGCGCTTCATTTTCTGGTGAGAACCTGTAATTGCCCATTCGATAGCGTTACACAGGGATAGCTCCGCAATAGGTAAAGAAAGAATATGCGCAAAAAATTCAAAATGACGTATGTCTGCACTAAAGCAATTCTCAGCGACTTAAGTACAATTCCCATACAAGGCAAAATACTGAAATTCGTTGTAGTAAGCGGTAACTCCCCTGACAAAGTTTAGTTGATACTCTCTTCATCTCCATAGTAGAATAAGAGACAGAGAGCAATGAAATGGCAGGAGAGTCCAGGACGTCTCGATATCCGGTTTCGTTACTGTGCACTTGTGGATACGAAGTAATAACAGAAGGAATGAAGCGAGTGCAAAACCACAAGTGAATCCAAACACGTGCACAAAACTAAACTCTCGTATAATGCGTGTTTGTTTGCTTCGGTTTCGTCCTAAGACTTTATTATTGGCAATCTGCGAAGCGACGCATTCATTCATTTTCTGAACACGATATTGTCTTAGCTTGCGGAGCTTATTTCTGTGTTGTAGGTATCTCAGTGGCATGCGTGTTGCATTGTTTAGACATGGTATGCTCGTTATTCAAGAATTCTCGAAGCCCTCCCCTACAGCATCTACCATAGTCATATTCTAGTTTGGGGACCTATAATCCCAAGTATTTGTATCTATACTCAAGACTACACTATGAATATGGCCGCTATTAAAAGTTTAGTGGCCGTGATAGCAACGTCCACTCGTGACCGAAGCACCGATATGACTTGAACAGAAGCAGTCGCCCACAAAAGTTTACGAAACTTGCGCTCGACTGCAAATGCGAATTTGGGCTCTGTTACTGCAAGGCGCTTTAGACCTAGCGGTTAGCTGTGTGGTACTAAGTATTCTTACAAGCTGGAACATCTATCTGGAAACAATGTTCAGAGACAAAGCGGGAATGTAGTTTCTTCAAAAATTCCGCGTCCACAAACTTTCGGATACATGTGTACCTCATATTGATGCGTCCTTGCGTGCTATCATTGAGTGCCTCGAATCACCATCTTCCAATCAGTCCCATCGCTCATTCGTGCTCCACGATGGTGTATTATACCGCCAAAGTTTTGAGCCGGATGGACCAGCCCTGTTGCTTGTCATTCCGAAACACCTTCGCTCGGAAGTTCTACGTGAACTTCATGACCTTCCGACTGCTGGTCACCTTGGTGTCACGCACTGCCGACCGAATACGCCAACGCTTCTTTTGGCCAGGGCTTGCGCGCTCAGTCAGAAGATACGTTGCAGCTTGTGAGAAATGCCAGCGCCGCAAAACACCATCGACACTTCCCGCTGGATGCCTTCAACCACTTGACATTCCGTCAGAACCGTTCTTCCGCGTTGGCTTGGACCTACTTGGCCCTTTCCCCTTGTCTTCCTCGGGTAACAAGTGGATAGCCGTGGCTACCGACTACGCCACACGCTATGCCATCACACGAGCTCTTCCAACAAGCTGCGCCACAGATGTCGCCGACTTCCTCCTCAAGGACGTGATTTTGCAACACGGAGCCCCGCGCCAGCTGCTTACAGACCGTGGCCGCACCTTTTTGTCGAAGGTCGTAGCCGACATCTTGCAGTCATGTCAAACTAGACACAAGCTGACTACGTCATTCCACCCGCAAACCAATGGACTCACGGAGCGTCTAAATCGAACTCTTACAGACATGCTCGCTAAGTATGTTTCTTCCAACCACTCTGACTAGGACCTGCATGCTTCGCCATAGCGTGACATTTGCATATAATTCTTCTCGCCGTGACACTGCCGCTTACTCCCCATTTTTTCTGTTGTTCGGCCGAGAACCTACATTACCCTTAGATACAGTCATTCCGTCTACTGCGACACCGACCAGCGACTATGCCCTGACGCTATCACTCGGGCTGCTCACGCACGCGAAATCGCCCGCACTCGCTTTCTGCCCTCCAAGAGAACCAGCGGCGTTTGTACGATCAACAGCACCAGCGACGTGCACTTCTTACCCGGTTCATTGGTGCTGCTGTGGTCCCCGAAACCGTCAAGTCGGCTTGTCGGAAAAACTTCTTTCCCGCTACACAGGTCCATATCGAGTCCTTCGTGAGGTTACTCCTGTGACAAACGAAATTACCCCTGCTGCCCCATCGCCTTCAACTGCCTCACAGACCACCGATATCGTACATGTGGCACGCTTGAAGCCTTACCACTCTCCCGCTGACGTTGACATCTAGATGCGCCGAGACGGCGCTTCTGCCGCCGGGGATTATGCTACATGCATGTTGACATTTTTGTGGGACGATGCGCGTGTGTGCCTGACGAAGAGGACGAAAAGTGGTCTTCGCTCGGTGTCTGGTCTACCGGTCAAGAAGTGAATTAATTTAAAAAGCAAGGCACCGTCCCATTCATGGCCTATCCCCCTAGGGGGGTTGCGCCAAGGTGTTGAGGAACCAACCAACCAACCAACTACCGGTCACGCCGCTGCTGCTGCTGGTTTGAAATATATTTCATCCACAGCCTCGTCGATACGGCGTCTCTCTTCCGTAACATTATTAACAGGTATACCGCATTAGAGTAATCAAAGAATGGCAGTGAGAATGGCCTTGGGAAGTGACTGTTGAATATAGCTTCAAGTACAGCTCGAAGCCAATAAACAAGATATATAATTCCCAAAGCATCTTTCTAAATTTGTTTGTCAACGCACCTCTCTGGGTTGAACTCATCCGGGTTGGGCCAATACTGAGGGTTCCTTTGCAGATGGTACTGCGACACCATAAACGCAGTTCCGGCCTTGAATTTGATGCCGTTGTACTCGAAGTCTTCTTTGGCTTGTCTCGTCACAAATCTGCGCCAAAGGTGTGTCCATGCTGTTGTAGTAATCGTGATATATGTGGCTCTAAAGCTTGAAAACACAGTTACTGTAGTTATTTGTGAGCCTTTCATGTACACTTATCCCGCCATGACGCTCCAGCTGAATGCACTGACTTTGTGGAAGATGAGGGAATTGTTCACTCCCCATGAAGTATGTGTCTACAGGAAAAAAAAATCAATTCTCCTATTGTCAAGGTTAATATCTGCACTTATATTACGGCCGATGTACTCATTGTTGCGAGCATTCGTACAATGCTGTCTCATTGCTGTCAGCAGCAGGCACTCGATGCCGATGGGAAAGCAAGCTAAGTTATACTTGATGCATGCCTATACAGTGTGCGTATTTATGTATTGTAAAGAAATGCGGGTTGCGTACTGGAGAAATAAAAGTATGGATAGAGAGTTCATACGTTGTCACCTTTGTGTTCCTTTAGATTTTTCTATAGCAAAAAGGGGTAGCCGGGTTAACAAATGTGACAACTGCAACCAGATACCGGTACAGACTGCCACAATGGACCCAACTGTTTGTTATTTTTGGTCTTTATAGCATGATGCTCCCATTTATAGTGGCACATTTTCCTGTACCATGGTTATTCAAGTAATATTTCTCCTATTTTTGTCTATAATAAACATGTATGCTTATTTCGTACTGAACCCTGTTTATAGACTGTAACATGGAGTTAAGAAAAGCTGCTCATAGCAAATCTGTGTTGGTAGACCTATACCTTAAGGATATTATCCCCCGTATTCACAAACGCTCCTCGACTCGACTTTCACCCTTCACTTGACAGAGTTGAGCACTGCGCCACCGCTAGGCTGAAAATAGCGCTGCCCTACTCAAGAATCGCAGCAGATTATCGCTAATCTGCAGTGACTTGTCGTGACTAGAGACGGCGCTCCCATTGGCTTTCTCAAGTGAAGGTGGAGCATTGAGTGAAGGGACGTTCTAGAATACGCGGGTATGCCTGTTTTGTAACGCGTTGTAAGTAAATGCCCGAAGTCTCGCTTCGCTGTATATTCGGAGTCCAACAGCAATAAAAACACACTTTCTGTCTGGACAATAGATACGTACAGCAAACCCGGCGGATACAACCGCAGTGCTTCGTCCACAACTTGGCCAAGGTACTTCAGATGCTTCATGGTGATATCATAATCTAGCGTGCCCTGGAAGAAAAAAAAAAGGACTGAAAGCAGGCACTACACAATACTTCACGTTTGGCATTATAATGATCGAGACTATAATCCGTTTCATACATAAGGTGCAACGATGTGGAAGTAAAGATGTTCGGCCAGTAATATATGTGAATTCGCGCGTTTTTCACACAGCCTATGAGAATGGAAAAAAATTATAACATGGGTGGTAATTTCATTGAACTATTACTTGGTTCAAATGCATGTACTGTAAAAATGTCCCTAAATTCCACAGAGTCGCACCTAATGTATGAAACGGAGTATGGTTTCACTGAACTTGCAGCAAGCTGCCGCAGCCCTTAGCACAAAACTAGGCTGTTGTTTTGAGGTCTGTTCTGCCACTTGAATTTAAACTGACACGTTTCGTTGGTAGTTGGATATTTGCTTCGGCGTGAACCCACAATAGCCCTTATAGAGACTGCAATGTCATTTAAATATGTTTCACCCGCTTTTTTGTTTGTTTGTTTGTTTGTTTGTTTGTTTGTTTGTTTGTTTGCTTCTTTGCTTCTTTGTTCGACCTGTGGATGTTGCAAGGTTCCAATACCTGCGTCTGTGTCTCACTCGTTTAAATATCGCCGTACCTTGATTCATTGTGTCTTGTGGCATCAAGCACGTAAACAAGGATAGGCAAATAACTGTTATAGAATGAGTCTAAGAGTTCAGCTTATCGCTTTATCCTCCCTTGAACCCATTTGTTGGGGCCGCGATTGTGTACCACTCAAACATGTGTCCTGCTTTCTTCGCGCGTTTGCACACGACTCAACGAGCGTAACAATGAGAACGTGGTATTCGCAGAAAACTACTAGTACGCCAAAACCATATAATAAGAGCCGTGTTAATGTTATTGTCCGTTGTAGCATGAGTCTATGGAGTGACTTCATTCAGATTTCTTATAAAGAAAGCTTCCTGTATTTGCCGAAAAATTTTAACCTCTTTCGCTATAGGTATACGAGAGCTGGGAGCAGCCC